AGGCATCATTTTTAAGCAAATGCATTGGAAAGGTAGGCAATATTTTCGAAGACCCTATTGAAAATGATACATCAAACATTGGAATCAAACTGAAATGCCTCCAAAAATGATTTGAGAACTCAATACTGCAATGCATATGTGGATAATATATATAGTTATTACAATTTGGCACATTTTAGCTTTTTACCGGTCAGACGACTGTCAAGTTGCGCAACAATCGATCACGCTATTACCGGTTTTCCGTAGAAAAGTTTATGTAAATGGCAGTCTTTAATCTCCGTAGGCCTTTCTCAATAGGCAGTAATCCAAACTTAGAATATTTTTCATTTCTTTTCCTGAACAACATTACCTCTACTTCCGTGAAACCTTATTTCGTGGACATAACCCAACTCCGACGAGAATTAGTACCTTACGCCTTTTTAACTTAGAACGAGAATGTCTCCCTCGACAATTTTTTTCCGTTCATTTCCCTAAGTTATTACCATACAGAAAGCTAAACGACAATAAAGGAAATATGGAAATGCTGGAATGGAAGCTTAGTATCCCTCCTATGTACAATACATTTTTAGATTATTCTTCATCGAAGAGGCCTTGCAGTTACCGCCCAAACTCTACAATTCTGAACGGCTGCATACTGTGGCTACTACGTCTGAATTCATCGAAAATCCGCATTCCTCTACTTCCAAGATCAGTACGGACAAAAAGAAATCTAGGAAAAGGAGTTCCAGTCAGCATGCAATGAAAGCCCAGCGCAGGAAGAGAAAGGAAACCTCCAAAGAGACGTGAAATGTTGGAGAGAGTAATCTCAAAAACCTGTGAAATTTCACTTTAAGCCTGCCTGCTACGAATAGGCTCTGACTGCTTGACTGCTCCCGCACCATTTTTCGAATTGTTGACGGTGCTATCTACGCGTTTTTTACCGCATCTTGATTTGACTTGCTTGCATCATTACTCACGTGCCTTTCAACACTTCTGGCCGCAGGCATTTACATGGCATGTTCCATTACTATTCGCTTTTCCATATACTGATAACACAGTAATGCAACAACGAAATCACTGTAAACATCAAAATACATCATGAAGTAGTGCAAGCGCCGTGGGGTGGAAAGTGCGATACAAGTTTTCCACCCTGGTTATTCAACAGCAACAACCAAATTTCGTACTCGTGATTTGTTGGTTAGAAGTCCAACACCCTAGCCCTTCCAGCTCCTCTGTCTTTGTCTGTAATGTTACTCTGCCTCGAGTGATCAATGTCCGGGTTTGGCTAGCCTTTAGTTCTGAGAAGATTTGAAAAATTCTGGACTTGCTTGATAGTTACTTGTACTTGTACCTGTTACGACTGTGATCATGCCTGGTCTAGCCGGCCTCAATGATGTCACGGAAGTTACCTCTCCATGCGTGACGATTGGCGGTAGCTGGTCCGGAGAGCTCCACCAGAATTTTTTCCTATCGACGAATTTATTATTGGCAGTCGCGGGCAGTATTTAACGTTAATGCTGTCTGATACCTGCACAAACACTACTTCAATAGGTGCATCCATTAAAAACTGTAAATCTTCACTCAAGAAGCAGAACTTTGCATTTTACATCTTTTTCAATGATTAGTAGCATGCATGTCACAAGTAAATTTTCAATGCCTCTGGCTGAACTAAAAGCCGGAAATGCTAGTAGGTACAGCACATTCGTCCGTTTTTTCGACCGTAATCCACGCCTAAACGGTAGAAATGGCGTAGTCAAAGATGAACACTCCGTTATCTTACAACATCAAGGAACTTGGAAGTGAGAAAAAGTAGATATGCTCATTGGGACAGGAATTTTATTCGATTACCGTTTCAAAATCCGTTGTGGATCCATCCTCAGAGACAATAGCAAAAACGGGTAGTTCGTACAGAGGGAGTTGCAGTATTTATAGGATGCAGTCAACATCATACTCTATACTCATGACAATTAACGGTACTTATTAGGGGTTCGGTAGATTTGCTTAATTTGAGTTGACCCTAGAAGTCATTCTGGTGGATTCTAGATGATTGCTTAGGAAATCCTGTTTTGGCAGTCAGCTTGCTATTT